GAAGATGAGATGACCACTCAGAATGATCAGATTTGGTGCTGGGAGGGCACCTTTTAGCCTGAGTGATGTAAAACCAGGATGGGAGTCCAGCAACTTTGACCGATGTAGGGGTAGCCAAGTAGACCAGGTAAGGGCCACTCCACCTTGGTTGTAGTCCTGTGGATTTAGAACATTTGAGATAAATTAGATCTCCTGGGGATATGGGAGGACCTGGTTTGGCCTCTCCAGAGGGCTGTGGAAGGCAGAGATCAGCATGTTGTCGCAACAGGTGTCAGAGGAAGGAGAGGACTGGGACATAGTCAGCCAGGGGAGGGAGATTTTGGGGAGCAGGAAGATTGTGGATTAAGAATGGCCTGCCATACATAAGTTCAAAAGGACTTAAGAAAGTAGGAGCCCGGGGAAGTGCCCTGAGCTTGGCTAAGGCTAAGGGCAAAAGTTGAGGCCAAGGTTGGTGTAGTTCTAAAGTGAGTTTTGTAAGGTGTGTCTTTATGAGGCCATTTGCCTTTTCTACTTTTCCTGAAAATTGTGGATGGTATGGGGTGTGTAGGTGCCAGGTGATGTGTAAGCTCGAGGATACCTGTTGAGTGATCCGAGAAATGAAGGCAGGACCGTTATCTGACTGAATACTCTGAGGTAGACCAAATCTCGGAATGATTTCTTGTAATAATGACTTTGGTAACTACATCAGCAGTTTCACTGGTTGTGGGAAAGGCTTCTATCCATCCTGAAAAGGTGCAAACAAAAGTGAGAAGATATTTGAGAGTCTTGTGGCGGGGCAAGTGTGTAAAATCTATCTGCCAGTCCTGACCAGGGGTATGTCCCCGAAATTGATGGGTAGGAAAGGAAGGGGGTGCCATGTGTCCCCGAGGAGAGGTCCTGGCACAGAGATCACAGGTGTGAGTCATTTTAAGAATGATGGCTTTTAGAGAAGGGTGTGTGACTATTGGGGCCAAAAGTTTGTATAGGGCCTGAGATCCTATATGAAAACAGTTGTGTAAGTCAGTGATGATGTCCGAGGCCTGTTGATGTGGGAGAACAAGTTTAGATCCCTGAAAAATCCATCCCTGAGTGTTTTGCGTGTAACCTGGTTTATGAAGTAGCTGTAACTGCTCTGGTGAATAATTGGGCTGAGGTAGACTGCTTGGGACTAATGGGAGAAGATGAGAAGGGCAGGGCCTTTGTGGAGCTAACTTGGCTTGTGAGTCTGCAAAGGCATTGCCTTGAGCAATAGGATCTGTAGAGCTTTGGTGTCCTCTGCAATGGATGACTGCTGCCTGCTTTGGAAGTTGGGCTGCCTCTAGAAGCTTAAGGATAAGGGGGGCATTAATAATGGGGGTCCCTTGAGTGGAAATAAAACCCCGTTCTTGCAAGATAGAGGCATGAGAGTGTAAGATGCTAAATGTATACTTTGAGTCAGTGTATATATTTATGATCTTGTCTTTTGCTAGTGTAAGGGCCCTTGTAAGGGCAATAAGTTCTGCCCTCTGGGAAGAGGTCCAAGGTGGCAGTGAATTTGCCTCTATAACTTTTGACTGGTTAACTATTGCGCATCCCGCCTTCTTTTGGTTGTCTGTGTTTGTTGAACTGCCATTTATGAACCATGTGTCAAAGGCCAAGGAGAGAGGTGTGCTACTGATGTGAGGGAAAGAAGTGGGAGTCATCTGTAAAAACTCTATACAGTCATGGTGAGGATGGCCTTCTGAGGTGGGAAGTAAGGTCCCTATATTAAGAGGACCACTAGTTGCAATAGAGATGCAAGGGTCTTGAGAGAGAGCTAAGTGTACCTGTTGAAGGCGAGAAGGGGTCATTAGGGCGGGGAGCACCTTATGTGAGATAAGGTCACGTAGGTGATGAGGTGAGTGTACTGTAATAGATTGTCCTAATGTAAACTTTTTAGCTTCCTGTGTCAGGAGGGCTGCAGCTGCAAGAGCTCGGAGATGAGGAGCCCATCCTTTTACTGTGTGATCTAACTGTTTAGATAAGTAAGCTACTGCTTGAAAAGAAGGTCCCTTTTTGTGTCCTAGTACACCTATAGCGTTGTGGCCCTGACAAGTAGTGTATAGGATGAAAGGTTGGGTGGGATCAGGAAGCCTAAGAGCTAGAGCTTTTAGGAGAGCCTCTTTTAGTTTTTGAAAGGAGGCATGTATGGGCCTAGTAGGGTCCCGGGGTTCTGATAAGGAACCCTTAGCAGCCTTGTAGAGGGGTTGAGCTAGGGATGCAAAGTTAGGAATCCAAAGACGAAAGAAATTAGCTAAACCTAGGAAAGACGTAACCTGCCGTTTAGCTGTGGGCACCTGGAGATCACGAAGAATTGCCTTACGATCTGAGGTGATGGAGCGAGTGGTGGGGGTGAGAGCGAGACCTAGGTATTTGACTTTTGGGGGGGCTATCTGGGCTTTGGTGGGAGACACCCTGTATCCACGGCTAGCAAGGAAATTAAGAAGACTGGCTGAGTGGCGTATGGCCAACATATGGGATGGAGAGCATAATAGGAGGCCGTCTATGTATTGGAGAAGAACACTAGGTTTGAGATTGAGTTCTGTGAGGTCAGTAGCAAGAGCCTGACTAAAGAAGTGGGGACTATCCCTGAACCCCTGGGGGAGTACTGTCCAAGTAAGTTGTTGAGACCTGAGAGTGTCTGGGTCAGTCCATGTAAACGCAAAGAGGTTCTGGCAATCAGGGTGTAGGGGGATAGTGAAGAAGGCATCTTTAAGATCTATAACTGTAAAGTGAGTAGTGGAGTGAGGGATATGAGAGAGCATGGTATAAGGATTTGGCACCACTGGGTAAGTTGGGGTAATGGCACTGTTGATCACCCTAAGGTCCTGTACCAGGCGATAGGACCCATCAGCCTTGAGCACCGGGAGAATGGGAGTATTGTAGGGTGTATGGGTAGGTTTAAGAAATGCATTGTCTAAAACCCTAAAAGGGTTTAAGTCCCCTTGAAAGTTGGGGGGCTATGGGGTATTGGGGAACACAGGGAAAAATTGAGGGATCCTTGAGACGGATTAAAACAGGCGTGGCATGTGTAGCCAGAGTGGGATTGGATGTGTCCCAGACCGTGGGGTCAACCAAAGAAGGAGGAAGAGGGGGAATGGCTTTGTGACGCATTGTGAGGCAGTTTGGAGGATTAGAGCTGTGGGGAGAGAGAAAGTGAAGGAAAAATTAAGCTTCTGAAGGAGGTCTCTACCTAAAAGGGCCGTGGGACATGTTGGGATTACTAGGAAGCTATGGGTAAAGAAAAGGGTCTGCAATCTGCATGGGATAGGCCCAGTCTGTAAAGGTTGATTTGGCTGGCCGTCAACGCCCACAACAGAAATCAGAGACTTAGTACAATGTCCTGAAAATTCAGGAAGCACACTATAGGTGGCCCCTGTATCTACAAGCAGAGATATTATTTTGCCTGAGACCTCCAGTGAGACTCGGGGTTCCGTCAAGGTGACTGGAGTGGGGGCTGTGAGCCCCGAGCCCCATCATTCTTCTGTAGCAAGTCCGAGCAGGTCAGTCAGCAACGAATCTGGCATTGACAAAGCCTCCTGTGAGAGCAAGGGATTAGAGGATGGCCTAGTCGCTCCCTGGCGCCTAGGACAATCGCTCCTCCAATGCCCTTCATCTTTGCAGATTGGGCAGGGCCCAGGAGGAGTGCCAGGGTTGGGGCAGTCTCGTGCCCAGTATCCTTGCTTGTTGCATTTGAAGCATGGTCTGGGCGGGACTTGGGCAGCCACACCTTGTTGTGGATTGCTTGTTTTGGGAGCCCCGAGTGCCACTGCTAAGAGGTCACACTGATATTTAGCAAGCCTTAATTTCTGAGCTTGCTTTTCCTCTTTTTGAAGCTTGTCTCTGTTGTTGAAGACACGAAAGGCTAATTTAAGTAGATCTCCTTGTGGAGTCTGAGGGCCTTGTTCAACCTTTTGTAGTTTTGCACAAATATCAGGAGCAGACTGTGAAATAAAATAGGAATTAACTACAATCATCCCTTCATGAGAGTCTGGGTCTACATTGGTATATTTAATTAAGGTTTCCCGAAGTCGATTCAGAAACACAGCCGGGTTTTCATTAGCCTCTTGGACCTGTTCTAAAAGCTCGTTATAATTAGTATGTTTGTGAGCAATCTTATTAAGGCCCACAATCAGACACTCTATCATCTTATGTAATTTTCTTGAACCTTGACCATTTTGATAGTTCCAGTTAGGGTCTTGGTCAGGCACGGCTATAGGGCAGGGTCATTGTCAATCGTATTTGTCCTGTGTCTGCAGTCAGCCTCCTCACGAGCTGCTTGCCACCGCTGATTTCGCTCTTGCGAGCTAAGGGTGGTATTTAAAATCACATAAACATCTTTAAAATGTTTAAATCATAGCAATTGGTAATAAATTCAAATTGTCTCATATAATTTTGTGGGTCGACAGAAAAGCTGCCCAATTTATGGGTAATCTGAGACAAATCAGAAAGAGAAAATGGCACATGAATATTCACAAGGCCTTCGGGGCCAGCTTGCTCCCGAAGTGGCAGCAGAACGTGAGGAGATGGACGCGGAGGAGAGTGCCACTGGGCGGCTAACGGCCCGGTAGACGCGTGTGGGTAGTTATCTGAAGAGCGGCTACAGAGCAGCTGCTGTTTACCCTGTGAGGAGGAAGTATAGGCAGATGACATTGTATTGTGTGGCTTAAAATGAGGGTGACAGGGCGGCTGTTGATGCTTACAAGGGGAGCCACTAGAGGGCGCCTGTTGATCGTGAGAGCAGAAAGAACATGGTGGCACGCTGTCGCCATGGTAACCAAAAGGCAGACTGCATTGTGACCCCTCTGAGCATGGTGGTGGCCCATCGCCATAACAACGATCTGAACCCAGTGGTGCTCTGTTGCCACGCGGCCCCTCTGAACTTCCGGAACATGGCGGAGCCCCGTCACTATGGCAACTAAGCAAACCGGGCGGCGCTCCATGCCCACATGACCCAACTGAACTTCCGGAACACGTCGACACCCTGTTACCAGTATAGCAGCCAGAGCACGGCGGGCATGGCGGCTGTCCGCGCAAGCTAGAAAAATCACGCTGTGTGCCGGCGGGGCACAAGGAACGTGACCTAGTGTGGTACGCAGGCGGTGAGAAGGTATCAGAAGGCGGAGCAGAGCCGCCAGGAGGAGCCTGCATCGCAGAAGGCGGAGGGGGAGACGATCGCACAGCGGAAGGTAACTGTGACACATTGTGACCCGCACAACTGAGGGAACCGGGCACAGGGGGAAGGCCGGCGAGGGGTAATGAGATAGAACGAGCTGTGTAAGCAGGTGCAATGACCTAAAGACCGGGGGAACATCTTCAAGCGAATCTTGAGGGCAGGATGGAAAAGTTTGAGCCGCGGTAGAGGTGGCCAAAAGGATCTCAGCGGGAGCACAAGATTTAATGAGGGATTGGCGTGTCCTCAGAACCAAAAATGCCTCTATGTATTGGAGTTCCATGACTCTATCGCTGGCCTTACAGAAATCATAGAGCGTTTGTACAATTGAAACATAGAATGTCCCTGCTGGAGGCCAGCGTTTGTCAAGGAGCAGGCAGGTAGGCCAAACTTCCTGGCAGTAAAAAGTTAATAATTTAGTTTTTGTGCTATTTTTAATTTTTAAAGTACGTAAATTGGAGATTAAACATTGTAGAGGCGTTTTTTGGGATGTAGGAAGTAAATTACCCATCGGTGAATAAGGCAGGCAAAAATCTGGTGGCACAAAGGAAAAGCTATCAGCAAGCCATAGTGCCACGCGGCGAGGCTAATGCGAATGGGGGAGAGACCAGTCGACTGGGTCCGGGCCCAGTGATAAGAGTCTTTTGGAGTGTGCTCACCTTAAATCAATCGGGGCGGCGGTGAGTGGAGGTGGCTGGCAGGAGATGGAACGCGTCCTGGCAGGAGGAGCGCAGAGTTAAGCCGTGATGTTTTCGGTTCGTGAATCGGCAGGGGGACCCAATTGGGCGCGTGTCCCGAGTCAATCGCCTGCCAATCGAGTCACAGGGCACCAAATGATAGGATTGTCTTCAACGCATAAAAGATGCTTCCAAAAGTTGAGGAGTATAAGACAAAAGAGGCCTTTATTCCGGGAACACGGGGAGAGAAGACTGGCGCACTGGCCGCTGGAATCTGGCGATCTCTCTCTCTGACACATGGCGTGGGGGAATATAAATAGCCTAAGCTTAGGGCAGTGCCCCAAGGCCATTAGAGATGCACAGGTATTTCATTGGCACACGTTTGGCGCCAGAAACAGGTTCTTAGGGATGGGGGTATAGGGTTACAGGTAAATCTATAGGGGCGGGGGAGGCAGGAGCCCCGTAACTTGGCTGCGGCTTTTCCTGGTTAAAGTGTCCGGTCTGAGCCAGCAACTCTTTCAGTAGTTGCATCTGTTTACCTATCGAAACCTAGAGTTTGTCTATCTTTATAGCTTAATAGTACTTCATTGCATAAAAATACCATGTCTTTTTATATCCATTCCTTTGTTGATGGGGATTTAAGTTATTTCCAAGATTTAGCTATCATGAATTATTCTGCTATAAACATAGGTGCATATATCTTGCTGTGGTATGATGTTTTAATTCTTCCGAGACAATACCCAGAAGGGGAATAGCTGGATTAAATAGGACCTCCAATACTAGGTTTTTGAAGGATCTCCACACTGATTTCCACAGGGATTGCACGAGTCTGCATGCTCACCATGAGTGGAGAAGGGTACATTTGTACCCACAGCCCCGCCAGCATTTGTTACTGTTTTTTTTTTTAGCCAATTGTCGCTGAGACAAAGGACTTCTATCTAGCCCATCTAAAGAGTTGTAAAAAAAACTTTCAGACCCCACCTCCCCAAGTTCAAAGATCCAACCCAAAAGTGGGAATCAAGGGGCCAGAAATATAGCTCACTGGTGCCTGCTTGGCAAGCACAAGATCCTGAATTTGAGTCCCAGCACCAAAACAAACAAACAACACCAAAAATTGGCCTCTGAAATGAATATACACTTCTCAGATGAAGAAATACAAGCAGAAAGTAAACACACGAAAAAATGTCCCACGTACTTGGTCATCTGAGAGACACAAATTTTAAAAAAACATATTGGGATTTAATTTCAGTCCAGAAAAAATGGCTATCATCAAGAAATCAAACAACAACAAATGCTGGCAGGGCCATGGGGAAAAAAAGAACCATTCTCCACTGTTGGTTGGAATGCAGACTGATGCAACCACTGTGGAAATCGGTATGGATACTTCTCAGAAAGCCAGGATTACAAGTCCCATTCGACCTCACTATTTCTCTTCTGGGTATCTTCCTAGAAGAATTAAAAACATCATACCACAGCAAAATATGTGCACAGGTGTGTATAGTAGCGCAATTGGTAATAGCTACACCTTGGAAACAACCCAAATGCCCATCAACCGAGGAATGGATTTTAAAATGCGATATTTTATGCGATGGAATACTACTTGGCCACGAAGAAGGATAGAGTTGAGACTTTTACAGGTAAATGGACACAACTTGAGACCATACTATTACATGAAATACATCAGACTCACATGTGTAAGAATCGCATTGTCTTCATTGTGTGAGAAATTAAAAGAGTAAATAAGGTCTAGAAAGTACAACACATATTGTGAAATGGGAAGAAATTGTTTGAAAGTAAAAAAGAGCTAGGGTGGGGGAAAGGGGAAAGGAAGGGAGGGAAAGGGGATAAGAATCCAAGTTAGCTGTGCTATGAGTGTCTCTTAGTTCACTGAAAAGGAAGGCTCATGCTAATATCAATTGGAGAAATTTTATGTCCATATCTTGTTCTCTGAGTAACTACTTTGAAGATGCAATATATTCTTGTTATTCTCCTATTATTATTACGAAATTTCCACAAAATAAAAAAATAAATGGCATTATCAAATACGATGAACGAAAGCTTTTATTTTCAATGAGTTATCCTAGAAAACAGAAATGATGTCTAACTGAAATGTAATATCTAGGACTGAGCACTTGAAGAGTAAAGCAAAATTAGTGGAAAAAATGCCTGTGAAACTGTCATTTAGTTAATAGCAAGATCCTAATGCTAATTGCTTAGTTTTGACAAGTGTGCTACAGCTATGTGATACTAACATTAGAGCTAGCCAGGTAGAGGGCACATGAAACTTTCTGTACTAGTTCTCAAGCTCTCTTTAAATCTTCAACCACTCTAAAACAAAACATTTATTTTAAAAATTCATTTAAGCTATTTCCCTGTAGCCATAATTATTCCTTAAGATGTCACATTCAGATGTGACATGAACTCATTTAAAGCTGATCACGTCTTTCTTGCCCACTGCTCTACTTCTAGCATCTTTGTGAAGATTAACACACATTAGGTAGATAACAAACGTTTTTGAAAGAGCTAAATGGGTATTTTTCACACATTCAGCTGGCAGGTACATTCAGATGTTACACCCACTTGCTGTTTTGTTACATTCATTTGGAAGCTATTATGGCTTGTATCTAGGTGTCCCGCCACCCCAAAGCCTCATGTGGTCACATCTGACACTTTTCAGAGGTGGCTGGACCTAGAGTGTACGATGCCGGGATTAAGGGTGGGTCATTACTAAATTGGTCCACTGATTGGTTTGGCATAGTTCTGGGAGTGGATAATGGGAAGGATGTGCATGCTTCCCACCCTAGGGGCAGGTAACCTGAATAGAAATGTAAGGGTCAGAAAGAGGGCTTCTGTGGTCACTTGCTTGGTGCTTCCTGCCTTCTGCCTGCCCTGTTTTGCCATCGACTATTTATCCTCTGTGATGCCCATCGGCCATGCCCACCCTGCCTTGAAGCCACCCTGCCTGAAGCCGGATTGAAACCTCTCCAAATTGTGAGCTACAATAAACCTTGCCTCCCTTAACTGTGGATATCAGGCATTTTGTCTCAGCAATGAGAAAAATAAGTAAGAAAGAAGCCATTTTCTATTTCAGGTGTCAAGCACAGTCAGAGGTATTTTCTTATATCTCTCAGACGTGACACTCAATCCTTCACATGTCCTGCATCGTATCTCAGTCGTCACAGGTATGCAGTTGTTATATTCATTCCATTAGATATTGCTTACATACACAGGAAACACATACTCTGAATTCAGGTGTTTAACACCAAGTTCAGATAATCGGCATTCTTACATGGGTGCTTCCGTATACCCACTAAATATTACAAGCTAGCCTGAAGAGTAGGTAATATTCAGCTGCTACACACACGTGTCATTCTTGACTATCACACATTTATCATATCACATACACTCAACAAAACTGAATACATATTTTTAGATACTAAGTACTCATTGAAAATTTATAACATTTTCAGGCATTATAGTTATTCAAATGTAGACTCCTCACTGAAAAGCATTATACATTTCATCTGGATGACGCAAGCTATTTTTTAGCTTTACTGTACACATTCATGTATCTCTTGCATATTTAAGAGGTCCCACTCAGACGACATATATTCATACTACTTGAAATATTAATTGTTGGGAGCCATTGAAACTGGAAATAGAGCACACACACAGGGCTGCTGCATGGCAGGGGGAAGATGATATAAAGGTTGAGGACACCTGGCTCCAACTCCAGTTAACTACATAAAGACTGTAGCCACAGCCATTTCACCCCTGTAGTCAAATGCTGCATGGAGATCTTCTCCTAAGCTACTTCTCTTTGTTAACATAATTTGTTACTGGCAAAGTCCTTGAACCACTCCCAAGGTCTGTTCAATTTATCTGGCCCTGACCTAGATCCCCAATCTCCCAAACGAGTGTACGGCAGAGGTTTAAATACATTGAGACAAGTGATATGATTTTAGGGTGCCGGGAGGGTCAACCCCCTTTAGTTGAGCTCGAGAATCCAAGGGCTAAGACCAAGACTTCTCTGGATCAGCCCACTTTTATTAAGACCAAGGACAAAAGGCGGGGAAACTGAGCAAAGCACAGGAAATGAGCAGGACCCTGGGAGTCATTTCAAAGACTTCTCCAACTAGTAAATTATGCCAATTTGGGAGAAGAGTCCTATCTCCAAGTGGACATTTATGGTAGGAGTGTGACTGTAGGAGTGAAATTCCTTCAGCTGCAGTCTCTGTTTACTTAATTAGTGTTGGGGCCAAGGTGTCTTCAGCTGTGGCCTTATCTTGCCCTTTGAGGGATCTATGGACACCCAGGCCACTGCAGGCCTCAACCAGGA